GAAGGGTGTAGCTTTGGCTGCAATGTTGCTCTTTGGGAGCGTTTGAGTAGAAATGAGGTCGATTAGGGGGTTGTTTCGCTCCAATCTCTCTGGATGGAAGTGTAGAACCATTTAGTTTGCCGGGAGAGTTGTTCCATTTTTTGCAGTGTTGTCAATGCTTCCCTGCTTTTATATCTCCTTTTTCGAAATCCCAAGAACCGTGGTTCAGAAGATTGCAAAGTTAAGGTGGGCCTTCCTGTGGGGGAGTTTCAGTGGCAAAGAAGAAAACGGCTCTTTGGAGACAGGTAATCAAAGTTAAGGTCCAATGGGTGCACATTAGAGCTTGAATGTTCTCAGCTAAGAATTTTCACAAGTTTAGTGTGATTGGTGTAGTTAAAGAGGTCAAAGCTGGTTGTGGTGGAGTTTCTTCGTTTATCATGTGGTACGATTCGGGCTATATTTTATGTTCCTGTTTGAAGATTTGATGTTAAGCTTGCTAAGGTCACTGCTTTCAAAACTTAGAGGCTAGGTGGGTGGGAAGGGCTTTTGTCTTACACTGGATTGCAAACCCTTTGCATCGCCCGTGGATCTTTTGGCCAGCTTGCCTGGAATTTAGTTCAATCATCCTGCAACAATCGTTGATGCTCAAACTCGAGATTTATAAGAATAACAATTGTTCCTTTAACCACTGATGTAATTTAGTTCAATTACTCTAAAAGATATACAATTAATGATAATTCAAATACAACATAGACTGTTATATGAGTTACTTGATGTTAACTTTTTGTGTTGTAACCAGAAAAGTTTGTAATTTATATGATTTGTTATGAAGAACATAACATTTTTAGTTTCAACTTAAAATGTTACTTGGCTTATAAGTTTTTCAATTACAATCGATTTTAACTTTTTTTTAACTTTATATTGACTTGTTGTATTTTAGATTACACCGAAAATGAAAAACTGAGTTTAGAACAACAATAGCATGACTTTATGTGATAAAATATAAAGAATGTAATAAAAGATTTGATATAGTTTTTTTAAAAAAATAAATGATTGACATAATGTTAGAAAAATATCTCTAACGTCTAATTGAATACTATTTTGATTTTTATTTTTTTAAACATTCTAACCTTTAATATTTCATTTTGAGTCAAAATAACTCTTTCAAAAAATTATTAATCAACTAATAATCAATCTTACATGATATAAACTAATGTAACAGTTGTGGATAGAAATTAATAGATGTCAATGGAGAATTAGAGAAGTTATATGACAATGTAAATTCTAGAGTTATTTAATTTATATATGTATATTAGAAATATTCTAGAATAATATAAAAATTATAGATGTGTAGAAGTATCCATATACAAATCTAGAGATTTGTAATATTTAATATTATATCTAGAATTATTTATTAGAAAAACCTAGATATTTGTAATGTTAAATGGATAAGATGTTGACATTTGTTAACCATATAATGGCCACCAATATATATAAATAAGGGTGAGTTTTACTATTGCAGTAAGAGTAAAAGTGAGAAATTGGTACCAAAAATGCGAGCTAGAGAAAGAGAGCTTAGAGATAGAGAAGAGAAAAGTAGTGGTTGTTAGTGTAGTGTGAGTGTTATATCTTAGGTCTTCTATAGTAAATGTGTTAAGCTCGTCGAAATTTCCAACAAGAGCTATGTTCCTTGGCTTCTTTGAATTTTACATTCCAATATTGTTGAGCTTAAAGTCATTTTCAATGAGAACCCATGTTTTTTAGAAGAAAAAATAGAATGGAGGTTGTTGGATTTTATTCGAAAATAACAATCGTATTTATTTCTAAAAAGAACTCTCAGCTATAAAGATTAACTGTTATTTTCAATGAGATTGTCCAATTTGTTGTTAGCATTAAATATGTCTTTAGTTAATGTGTTTTATGTGACAATAATATTTTTTTGTTTGATTTTAGATGTTCTTTTGTTTGTATTGTATGCTATTTTGTTAGATGTATTGTTTTTAATGTCTGTCGGCAGAGTGATTGCAACACTTTATTTTATTTCCATGTTTTTAGTTGTATTGTTTTAATTATTAGTAAAGTAATTATTATTGAGCAAACAGAAAAAAGAAAATCGATGTGTTATCTTAATTTTCTAATGCAATTTTTGTTTTGCAGGACATTGGGCTTAATGTTGTAGAGAAAAAAAATATTATGATGTTTATCTATTGCGAGGTAAAATTCGTAATGCAGAAACAATCACTATTGATGAGCTGATGAAAAAACTTTAATTGAATAATATGAAGCATACTCTAGGACTCGAATTGGGGAAAGAGTACGAGAATGTTGATACTCTGATATTTGGACATGTTATGATTATGACTGATCAATATATTGACGGGTCTCGCATCAAAGGACTTTTAATAATTTTTTTCATTAATGTTTTCCATCATTATTGAAAATTGAGTTATTCTTGCAATTTTTATTACTTTTATTATCAAGGTATGTAATTTTGACAAATAATTTTATATGTTGAATAATGAAATGTTTATTTATAACCTCTTTATAATTGATTTTTTATTAGGCTACAAACAATGAGGATAATAAGGTGAAATATTTAGATTTTTTTACATGATTATGAGGAGTGGAGAAAAAAGCATGGGGTTAAGGTGAAAGAATGATCAATAAACTATTTAAAGGTTTGTCTTTAAGTAGTATTGATTTTGTAACATCCTAAAAGTCGGGTCAATGACCAAAATAGAATTTTTGGTAATTTAGTGACCAATCTCAGAAGAGATTGAAAGTTAGGGATTTAAATGAAAAGTATTGATGTTGGATTTAAATAACAAAGTTTGAAGTAACAAGGGTATTATGGTCATTTTTCAGAAAAGATTTTTATTTTCCTTTATAAAGGGTAATAAGCACGTGGGAAGGAGATAATTTCTCCAGAGCATTCTTCAGTCTTCTTCTTCTTCCTCCCGTATCTCCAAGCTCAAAGGTGAGTTTCTTTGCTTGTGGATTAATTATTGATTTTAAGGTTGGATTATGATCATTAGAGGATAATTAAGCTTAAGGAAAGCTTAATTTGTTCTAAAACAACAAGATGAAAGATATAGAAGAGATTAAAGAAAATGAGTTTTTACGTGAATTTTTGAAATAGAAGGAGTTAATAGATTTTGAAATTGAATTTGACTTGTCAATGGTTAAATTAAGAGATGTGAAGTGTTAGAATGAGTTTTAAAACATGTTGAAAATCTGGTATGATTCTTGAAGTTAATGAAAATGAGAGGATATTAAGGTTAAAGACGAGCTAAATGAATATAAATGAGTTTAAACATGTATATGTAAGTTAAAAATAAGAAAGGGGATGATATATGAAGTAATTAAGCTGAAAAGAGTGGATTTTCAGGTGTAAATTGGAATTCTGGGCTATGTGCATCGATGCACACTGATGCATCAAGGGTAAATCCCAAAAATTATTCAAGGTGTATCGATGCACCTGAAGTGCATTGATGCACTCTTCTAAAATACGAACATTGAATGCCATCAGTGCATCGATGCACCCCCTTAAATGTAAACATCGAATAGGATTTATGCATCGATGCAGGGTGTGGTGTATCGATGCATACCTTCATTAAAAGATGAAAATGACTCTTCTTTTAGCCTAAGAAATGATAGTTTAGAATATATTAATTAATATACTGATTAGTATCAATGAATTACTATGTAGATTCAGAGCCTAAACAAGTTCCGGAACTTGGCAAATAAGATCGATCAAGGAAAAGATAACAGATCGATATTGACTAGTGAGACCAGGTGAGTACATGATATTAAGTGTACATGATGTTTATGGAATTAAGACTTGCGATGAGTCTAATTCCGATAATAGATGACATGAGTACAATAATATAAGTATAGTATGATATGATGTTTAAGAGTACCTGAGCATGATCCTATAATAATATGGTGCTAGAAGTATATGAGTAAATGCATAGGTTTAATTGTCGAATGTAGGTTATATGATCATAAGAGATAAGATATATGATAAAATATATGTGAAAGTGATATGACTCATATGTGTTTCTATGAGAACGTTACACGATATGCTATGTATGTTATATGAGTGATGTGAATATATGTTATGAGATAAGAATCATAATTATGAGCTATGTGAAAAAAAAGAATACAAGTACAAGTGGAAAGTTATGTGATACGTGAATGTGAATTCATGGAAAAATGCTACGTGAAAGTAAACTACGTGACTATGTGATATGAATATGTGAATGTGTAATGAGGTAAAAGATAATGCCCATGTCATGTGTTATGAGAGCTATAGGTATAGTTGTCATGCCAAGAGTCGAGGGTCTACGCGGTCCTTTGGGACATAGTGGTCCTTCGAGACATGTGTATTATAAGTGGTCCTTCGGGACATTTACGTGGTCCTTCGGGACAAATTCTACACGCCCCTAGTGGGAATTATACAAGCTGTGGTGACAGCATAGTGCACAACCTCTATGTACTCACATACCTTAAGTTCTCAGTAGTGTGCATGGGCTAACCAAAAAGATAACGATAAAATGTGAGTTGCAATGAGAAATGTGTTGCATGTTTTATATGATGATATATGTGAATGTGTGTATATGTTACAGGAAAGAATGTGTGTTATGGGTTATGGCATTTTTTATGGGATGTACATGAATATATGTTAAGGTATATATATGAATGAATATCAAGGACTCATATGATGATGTAAGAACATGTTATAAGATATAGAATATGAAAATAAGAGATCATATGAACAAGAGATAAGAGATAGAAAGGATAATCATATAAGAGTATGAAAAAATATAAATGGTGACATGCATGTGTGTATGTAATTGTTACATGAAAAAGTATGTATACCAGTATGACGTTGTATTACATGATATGTACATGCATTTGATAATTTACATATGTATTTATATGTCTCACTAAGTCTATGACTTAGCGTGTGTGTGTTTCACACTTAGGTTCAGGAAAGCAGGAAGAGAAGCTAAGAGGAGCAAGACATGTTAGTTTCTCCTTACCGAAGGTCAGATCAGAACCTAAATGAATAACATGTATTTTTTTATATATAGAATTTAGTTGCCATGTAATTAAAAGATTTGTATTAGATACACTCTGATCAGTTTTGTAAAAGCATATGTTTTATATCATAGAAAATAAACGGTTTTATTAGAAATATCAAATTGAATCTTGGGTATTTTGTAAATGTTTTGAGTTGTCAATGTAACACCTCAGACTCGTATCTGGGTCGGGTACTGGTTGGGGGTGTTACAGATTTACTTAGCTATCTATTGTTTATGTTTTTGTAGTCATACTTCCTTTTTTTATTCATTATAGGGGTTAGGCGCAAGCACAAAAGAGGAAGAAGAACAATACTTTAGAGAAATAGGAAATCGTTTGAAATTGTTTATATGGAAAGGTGTAAAAGACCAGAAGGCATTGGAGCTAGAATTTTGTAAGAAAATAGAGAACAAGGGGAAAGAATACCTATTAGGTTTTAACATAGTTGTATAGTTCATGCTAAAAAAAATTTAATTTTATATTCTAGATTGTGAAATTCATGGAAATATGTCAAAGACCGGAAGGCATTAGAGCTAACATTTAGTAAGAAAATAGAAAACAGTAGGAAATAATACATATGAGGTTTTAACATAGTTGTATAGTTAATGCTAATAAAAAATTTGATTCTAGATTCTAGATTGTGAAATTCATGATTTTTTAGTCTAGAGACCAACTTGGTCTCAGTTTTAAGAAAATCAGTTATGCTCAATTCATCAATAAAGATGTCACACCCTAAATTTTATTTTTCAAGTTAACAATAATTTAGCCTAAATTGGTAATTTTAAAAAATGTGATCACTTTTTGTGAGTTTTCAATTAGTTCAAATACTTGAATCATAATTTTATTTTTCAAATTAACAAAGATTTAGTATCAACTCACCATTACCCCGTCGTTCCCTTTGCTTTGGTCAGTGTTGACTTACACCGCTACCTCCAATAGATTCAACATCGCCTCCCGATCGAACCCCAACCTCGAACTAACTCGAGTAACCCTTCGTTTGTCCTAAATCATGTGATAATAGTTCAAAACCCATTTTTTAATATCAACCACTATCCGTGTAATACCCTGAATCTCGGGTCAGTAGTTTGGGTCACCTAAGACCCATAATTCAAGCCCATTAGATCTCCTAGATTAGTTTGGACCGATTCAAAAGGGTATTGGGCTTAAGTTTGACCCAAGAGTATAAGTGAAGTGATGATTTTAATTAGGAGTTATAGATGAGGGACCAAAAGTTTAGTTTTTCCATTGTTGGTTTTAAAGGATATAAACCTCTTATATTTAGAGGATTTCACGTGAACCCAAGCTTCCTAAATACTCTTTCATTTCCTCTTCTTTTCTCTCTTCCTTTTCTTCTCAAGAGCAAGAAAAATGTGAGAGCATTTAGGATTCCAAGCCTAGTTTGAATCAACCAAGGTAACAACATTAATCTCCATCCCTCAAGCTTTAATTCAAGCCTCAAATCTTGAGTTTTAAGCATGGTTTCAAAATGGGTTTTTAAGGGAGGTTAAGTAATTAAAGTATTCAAGCTTATTCTAGTAAATTTGAGTTGTTTGGAGTATCCTTAACCTTATTTTAAGTCTTAGATAAGTTAGTAAACCCTTTTTCTTACTTTTGTTTAACTAAGGAGGTGGGAGAAAGTTCAAAGGCAAGGGGTAAAGAAAAAGTGTCCCTAGTTGATTTGGAGATGTTTTAGCACCCAAGGAAATCAAGTAACACACTCATAGATTCCTCCTATCAGTTGTGGATTATTAAAAGTGATATATATCTAGAAAGTTGATTTGAAGCATGTTAAGTAAGTTTTCATGGTAGATTCTTATTAGAGTTATTTTAGCATGTTTAAAACCTTATTTATGACCCCTATGATTCACATAAGATTAATAACAAGTGGGAAACCTCAAGGTAGTAAAATTAGAGAGTTTAAGAGGTTAATTAGTGCCTAAATAGGGCATGTTTAAGGGTTAGTATCGATACTGTATGAAACAATATCGATGTTATTCACGTTTAAGAGTTTTTTTGGGGTTAATTAGTGCCTAAATTATTATTTTATTAAAATTTGGAGACTGTTATGCAACTCAAGGAAGTTTAGAGATTTGGGCCTTGTTTTGCCCTTCATTCATTGTTAGTTGAAATAAAATAGGGGAGAAATAAAATATGATTTCAAAATCTCAAATGACTATCATATCTCAATCAATATGTCAATGTCCAACTCATATCAAATTTTTAACGGAAAGAAACAAGTGTGAAACATATGAACAATCGGGTGGCCGTTTTATAACTTTCAATATTCGAGGAACTCAATAAATTGCAACACCCTATAGTTAGATGATCATTTTGTAACTTTTAATAATTAAGTGATTCGATAAAATAGTGTCATGTAGTCGGGGACCATTTATGTCCTTTACCTTAAAGAATTATACATTAATTTTGTATAAATTGGCTTAAATATATCAAAGGCTCTTGAACTTTCAAAAAAAAAAAAAACTAATGTGACCCCTATCATTTTTTTAGATCAATGTGGTCTTCCAACTCGACAAAAGAACCCAATGTGACCCTTTGACCAACGTTTTCCGTCATTAACCAACATTTCTGTTAATTCATGTTGGGTAAATTACACCATTCATCTCTCAACCATTTTCTTCTCTTCTATTTTGGTCGTTGAACTGTAAAAGTTTTAATTTCAAAAATCCTAGTAACTTCAGGGACTAAGGATGTAGTTAACCCATTTCTCTAACTTCTTCCCTCTCTTTCACGCCGCCGCCGCCTTATTGCTCCTGGGTTTTAATTAGGGCTGTAAATGAGACGAGATAGATCGCGAGCTACTCGAGATTGACTCGATCAAAGCTCGATAAATACTCGGATCGAATGGACTCGACTCGAGCTCGAGCTCGACTCGAGTTCTTAACGAGCCGAAACGAGCTACTCGATAATCGACTCGAAAAGCTCGTGAGCAGCTCGAAAATATAATATATTAAGATTTTATTTTTTTAGAAATAAATTATTAATAATATTAATATTTATGTATTGATTTTTTTATAAAAAAAATACAGTAAGATTTCTTGTATTTAAGGTTCATGTTCGAGTTTGAGTTTGAGGCTTCAATCGAGTTAAGTTGAATAATTTTTTTTTCATTTCGAGCCTTTTCGAGCTGCTCACGAGCTTCAGTTTAGGATTTCGAGTTCGAGTCGAGCTTGAAAATTTTAAGCTCGCGAGTTTTCGAGTCGAGTCGAGCTTCATTTCAAAGTTTTCGAGTCGAGTCGAGCTCAGCAATACTCGAGCTCGACTCGGCTCGTTTACACCCCTAGTTTTAATCATAAGAAAACCCAGATCAAATAACTACTGGGTTTTCATCATAAGAAGGTAAAAGCACAATATGTAGTTGTCCAATATTCAAGATTCCACATTTTTAAACAAATAATTGGGGGGGGGGGACAGAATCCATGAACTCCAAAGAGATGAAATTAGAGACGGAGTACCGGGTATGATGATGAAGAAAGGGAAAGGAAAAACAGAAAATCCATGAAGAAATGGAGCTTAGCAGGAGGTTAGGCCTAGAGGTCAACCAAATAAAATTTTGGTTTCAAAACAGGAGAACTCAGATGAAGGTAAGTGGATGATCTTATTTTGTTTTACTGTTCAATATTGATGGTTGAATTGGCCTACACTTGTGTTTGAAATTCCAGACCCAATGGGAACGCCATGAAAAATGTAATTCTTAGGCAAGAAAACGATAAACTCCGTGCCGAGAATGACTTGTTGAAGCAGGCTATGCAACTCCTGTGTGCAACGGTTGTGGTGGTCCTGCAGTGCCCGATGAAATATCTTAAGAAGAACACCGGCTTAGGATCGAGTATGCTCGATTAAAAGACAAACTTAGTCGGACATGTGCTCTATCAAACAAGTTCTTAGGTAGCCTGAAAACATATGGAAACAGGGGAAGCGCTGGGTTAATGGCCAAGATAAAAGAGAAGAAAATAGTTGAGTGATAAATAGTGTAATTTACCAGACAGGAATTAACGGAACGTGGGTTAATGATGAAAAACATTGATCAAAGGGTTAAATTAATTTTTTTTTGAGTTTAAGGGTCATATTAGTTTTTTAAAAAAAGTTTAGGGGCCTTTGATACATTCAAGCCTATAAATTTAGGTTTAAAATTTGAGGATACTGTAATCAGGATGTCTCAAGTATGACAACTTTAATATACCGTTAAGGAAATGAGCTACCAGAAACATTATTAGACATTAAAAATAGATATTATTCTTAGAACACTTTGCTGCTCAACATACCAATACTTCAACTAAACTGAATCATATTGGAAGAAAACAAAGTTTCAATTTTTTTTCTTATTACTATATTATTTATTAATTATTTTATATCATAGTTATTGTTACTTTGCACATGTTAATTGGATTAAACGACGATTACAGCTCTGGTAAGAGAGGATAAAAGAAGAAGAAATCAAAGGAACTCCCATGAAACAACAGGGTTCATGCTAAAGCTCTTATTTAGACAAGTCCAATTTAACATTATTAAACTATTCTTCATTTGCCATGGCCACCTCGGCACCTGAAGATTCTTGAGCAGCCACGAGTCCAGGGATTAACAGGATCCTGGAGTAGACGAGTGGGGACTCCTCCTCCATCAAGAGGCGCCGCAGCCTCATCCCCTTGGACCACCGCCTCCACCGCAACCAGGCTGATTATTGCCAAGAAAATTAGAAAAGTCTTCATGCTAGATACTCCCATGATATATAGCTTCGGTTTTGATAATTAGGGTTAGTTTGCTGTCACCTTTTTATAGGGTTTTTGAAGGAAACCCTATTTTGGAAATCGACTTAAATTACGTGAAACTGCTTTGCGTTTTCCCTTTGTTTCCAAAACGTTTCCGAAAATATTAATTACGATGTTACTATCATTTAATCACTATATGGTTGCAATTAATCTTTCCTTGGGTTCTTTACTTGAAAGCTTTGAATTAGAGGTGTGAACGATAGTTCGGCATCGAAGTCGATCGTCGATCAAAGCTCATTGAGTATTGAAAGTGTCTTAGTCACCGTGACGGATTCGAAAATATTTTTCAGGATAAATACAAGTAAAATTTTAGGATGGACACATTAAATAAAATAAAGAATTAACTTAAATTCGAGTATGAGGGTGGACAGTGGTTTGTACATGCACCTGCCACTGCCTAGCCATGAAACAACTATAAATTAAATACAAAGACATGGAAGAAGCTTCGAGGCGGAGGAGAGGAAAGTGCAAAAATTTTGGAGGGAAACAAAATCTAAAGGTATTAAATTTGATAAACCACTGTTTAAAAATTAAAGACGCTGCTAACCTTAATGATTAAATTCGGATTACGAGGATCGCGGTAGCTTCTCAAGAACCAGATGGAGGTGTTTACTCTGTTCGTTGAGAATATACCAAGAGCAATGCATTGGAAAGGATTATAGTTTACGTTTGCTAGACATGGAGAGGTGGTAAAAGTGTTAATGGCTAGAAAACTAAGTAAAGGAGGTAAGAGATTTGGGTTTGTGAGTTTTGAGAAGAAGTCTGATGCGTTGAGAGCGACTGAAAGACTAGATGGACTCTCGCTATATGGTTGTAGACTCACTGTGAAGATGGCGAAATACTCAGGATTACCAGTGAGAAGGAGCTGGCCATTGTGTGCAGTGTTAGAAGCATAGAATCAAGGCTTCATGAGTGGGGATTGGGAGAGATTAAAGTAAAAAGGCTGGGAGGAAAATTCTTCTTGTTGATAATCGAAGATGAAGACCTGGGTTGGTCCTACTTGAAGGAGATTTTTAGCAGTATAGATCTTTGGACTGAAAAATTAGGAGCTCTGGATCGTGCAACATGGTTAGAAGTTTCAAGGGTTCTATTACATTGTTGGAACCATACCACCCTAAAGAGAATTGCAGAAACATGGGGGTCGTTTGAAGCCCTTGGCGAAAACGCGGATCATTCGCTTGATTGTGAAAAAGTCTCTGTTTTGATAACGACAAAAATGAAGAAGATTTCAGGGCCAGTAGAAATAGCAGTCGAGCACATGGTTTACATAGCAGTAAAAATAATCTGCTTTCACCCTCTTATACTAAGATAGATGAACTTCTAGTTCGGTCCATCTTGGAAGAGTGTAGCTTTGGCTGCAGTGTTGCTCTTTGGGAGCGTTTGAGTAGAAATGAGATGCACATTAGAGCTTGAATGTTCTCAGATAAGAATTTTCATAAGTTTAGTGTGATTGGTGTAGTTAAAGAGGGCAAAGCTGGTTGTGGTGGAGTTTCTTCGTTTAACACGTGGTACGATTCGGGCTATATTTTATGTTCCTGTTTGAAGATTTGATGTTAAGCTTGCTAAGATCACTGCTTTCAAAACCAGCTTTGGGACTTTTCTTGGAGGCTAGGTGGGTGGGAAGGGCTTTTGTCTTACACTGGATTGCAAACCCTTTGCATCGCCCGTGGATCTTTTGGCCTTCTTGCCTGGAATTTAGTTCAATCCTGCAACAGTAGCTGATGCTCAAACCCGAGACTTATAAGAATAACAATTGTTGTTTTAACTACCGAGGTAATTTAGTTCAATTACTCTAAAAGATATAAAGATTTGATATAGTTTTTTTAAATAAATGATTGACATAATGTTAGAAAAATATCTCTAACGTCTAATTGAATACTGTTTTGATTTTTATTTTTTTTAAACATTCTAACCTTTAATATTTCATTTTGAGTCAAAATAATTCTTTCGAAAAATTATTAATCAATTAATAATCAATCTTACATGATATAAACTAATGTAGCAGTTGTGGATAGATATTAATAGATGTCAATGGAGAATTAGAGATGTTATATGACAATGTAAATTCTAGAGTTATTTAATTTATATATGTATATTAGAAATATTCTAGAATAATATAAAAATTATAGATATGTAGAAGTATCCATATACAAATTTAGATATTTGTAATATTTAATATTATTTCTAGAATTATTTATTAGAAGAACCTAGATATTTGAAATGTTAAATGGATAAGATGTTGACATTTGTTAACCATATAATGGCCACCAGTATATATAAATAGGGGTGAGTTTTACCATTGTAGTAAGAGTGAAAAGTGAGAAAATGGTACCAAAAGTGTGAGCTAGAGAAAGAGAGCTTAGAGATAAAGAATAGAAAAGTAGTGGGTATTAGTGTAGTGTGAGTGTTATATCTTAGGTCCTCTATAGTAAATGTGTTAAGCTCGTCGAAATTTCCATTAAGAGGTATGCTCCTTGGCTTCTTTGAATTTTACATTTGTATAATGTTGAGCTTAAAGCCATTTTCAATGAGAACCCATGTTTTTCAGAAGAAAAAATAGAATGGAGGTCGTTGGATTTTATTCAAGAATAACAGTCACATTTATTTCTAAAAAGAACTCTCAGCCATAAATATTAACTGTTATTTTCAATGAGAATGTCCATTTTGTTGTTAGCATTAAATATATCTTTAGTTAATGTGACAATAATATTTTTAGTTTGATTTTAGATGTTCTTTTGTTTGTATTGTATGCTATTTTGTTAGATGATGTATTGTTTTCAATGTCTGTCGGTAGCGTGATTGCAACACTTTATTTTATTTCCATGTTCTTAGTTGTATTGTTTTAATTATTCGTAAAGTAATTATTATTGAGAAAACAGAAAAAAGAAAATTGATGTGTTATCTTAATTTTCTAATGCAATTTTTGTTTTGCAGGAGATTGGGCTTAATGTTGTAGAGAAAAAAATACTACGGTGTTTATCTATTGCAAGGTAAAATTTGTAATGCAAAAACAATCACCATTGATGAGCTGATGAAAAAACTTTATATGAAGCATACTCTAGGATTCGAATTGGGGAAAGAGTACAAGAATGTAGATACTCTGATATTTGGACATGTTATGATTATGACTGATCAAGATCTTGACGGGTCTCGCATCAAAGGACTTTTAATAATTTTTTTCATTTATGTTGGCCATCATTATTGAAAATTGAGTTATTCTAGCAAATTTTATTACTCTTATTATCAAGGTATATAATTGTTGACAAATAATTTTATACGTTGAATAATGAAATAATGAAATGTTTATTTATAACCTCTTTATAATTGATCTTTTTTTATTAGGCTACAAACAACGAGGATAATAAGGTGAAATATTTTGGTTCTTTACATGATTATGAGGAGTGGAGAAAAAAGCATGAGGTTAAGGTGAAAGAATGGTCAATCAACTATTTAAAGGTTTGTATTTAAGTAGTATTGATTTACTCAACTATCTATTGTTTATGTTTTTGTAGTCACACTTCCTTTTTTTATTCATTGTAGGGGTTAGACGCAAGCACAAAAGAGGAAGAAGAAAAATACTTTAGAGAAATAGGAATCGTTTGAAATTGTTTATATGGAAAGGTGTCAAAGACCATAAGGCATTGGAGCTAGCATTTTGTAAGAAAATAGAGAACAAGGGGAAAGAATACCTATTAGGTTTTAACATAGTTGTATAGTTCATGCTAACAAAAAATTTAATTCTAGATTCTAGATTGTGAAATTCATGGAAATATGTCAAAGACCAGAAGGCATTAGAGCTAGCATTTAGTAAGAAAATAGAGAACAATAGAAAAGAATACATATGAGGTTTTAACATAGTTGTATAGTTATGCTAACAAAAAATTTGATTCTAGATTCTAGATTGTGAAATTCATGATTTTTTAGTCTAGAGACCAACTTGATCTCATTTTGAAGAAAATCAGTTATGCTCAATTCATCAATAAAGATGTCACACCCTAAATTTTATTTTTCAAGTTAACAATAATTTGGCCTAAATTGGTAATTTTAAAAGATGGGATCATTTTTTGTGAGTTTTCGATTAGTTCAGATACTTGAATCATAATTTTATTTTGCAAATTAACAAAGATTTAGTATCAGCTCACCATTACCCCATCGTTCCCTTTGCTCTGGTCAGCGTTAACTTACACCGCTACCTCCAGTAGATTCAACATCGCCTCCCGATCGAACCCCAACCTCGAACTAACTTGAGTAACCCTTCGTTTGTCTTAAATCACGTGATAATCGTTCAAAGCCCATTTTTTAATATCAACCACTGTTCGTGTAATACCCCGCATCTCGAGTCAATCATTTGGGTCACCCAAGACCCATAATTCAAGCCCATTAGATCTCCTAGATTAGTTTGGAGCAATTCAAAAGGGTATTGGGCTTAAGTTTGGCCCAAGAGTATTAGTGAAGTGATGATTTTAAATAGGAGTTATGGATGAGGGACCAAAAGTTTAGTTTTTCCATTGTTGGTTTTAAAGGATATAAACCTCTTATATTTAGAGGATTTCATGTGAACCCAAGCTTCCTAAATACTCTTTCATTTCCTCTTCTTTTCTCTCTTCCTTTTCTTCTCAAGAGCAAGAAAATGTGAGAGCCTTTAGGATCCAAGCCTAATTTGAGTCAACCAAGGTAAAAACCTTAATTTCCATCCCCCAAGCTTTAATTCAAGCCCCAAATCTTGAGTTTTAAGCATGGTTTCAAAATGGGGTTTCAAGGGAGGTTAAGTAATCAAAGTATTCAAGATTATTCTAGTAAATTTGAGTTGATTGGAGTATCCTTAACCTTATTTTAAGTCTTAGATAAGTTAGTAAACCCTTTTTCTTGCTTTTGTTTAGCTAAGGAGGTAGGAGAAAGTTCAAAGGCAGGGGGTAAAGAAAAAGTGCCCCTAGTTGATTTGGAGATGTTTTAGCACCCAAGGAAATCAAGTAACACACTCACAGATTCCTCCTATCAATTGTGGATTATTAAAAATGATATATAGCTAGAAAGTTGAGTTGAAGCATGTTAAGTAAGTTTTCATGGTAGATTTTTATTAAAGTTATTTTAGCATGTTTAAAGCCTTATTTATGACCCCCGTGATTCACATAAGATTAATAACAAGTGGGAAACCTCAAGGTAGTAAAATTAGAGAGTTTAAGGGGAAATAGGGCATGTTTAAGGGTTAGTATCGATACTGTAAGAAACAATATCGATATTATTCATGTTTAAGAGTTTTTTGGGGTTAATTAGTGCCTAAATTATTATTTTATTAAAATTTTGAGACTATTATGCAACTCAAGAAAGTTTAGAGATTTGGGCCTTGTTTTGTCCTTCATTCCTTGTTATTTGAAATAAAATAGGGGAGAAATAAAATAGGATTTCAAAATCTCAAATGACTATCATATCCCAGTCAACATGTCAATATACAACTCATATCGATTTCTTAACGGAAAGAAACAAGTTTGAAACATATGAACAATCGGGTGGCCGTTTTATAACTTTCAATATTCGAGGAACTCAATAAATTGCAACACCCTATTGTTAGATGATCATTTTGTAACTTTTAATAATTAAGAGACTCGATAAAATAGTGTCATGTAGTCGGGGGACCATTTATGTCCTTTACCCTAAAGAATTATACATTAGTTTCGTATAAATTGGCTTAAATATATCAAAGGCTCTTGAACTTAAAAAAAAACTAATGTGGTCCCTATCAGTTTTTTAGATCAATGTGACCCTCCAACTCGACAAAAGAATTCAATGTGGTCCTTTGACCAACATTTCCATTAATTCCTGCTTGATAAATTAAATCATTCATCACTCAACTATTTTCTTCTCTTCTATTTTGGTCACTGAACTCTAAAAGTTTTCAATTTTAAAAATCCTAGTGACTTTAGGAACTAAGGATGTAGTTAACCCATTTTACCCCCATTTCTCTAACTTCTTCCCTCTCCTTAACGCCGCCGCCGCAGTATTGCTCCTGGGTTTTAATCATAAGAAAACCCAGATCAAATAACTAATGGGTTTCATCATAAGAAGGTAACAGCACAATGTTTAGTTGGCCAATATTCAAGATTCCACATTTTTAAACAAATAATTGGGGGGGGGGAACAGAATCCATGAACTCCAAAGAGATGAAATCAGAGACGGATTACCGGATATGATGATGAAGAAAGGGAAAAGAAAAACAGAAAATCCATGAAGAAATGGAGCTTAGCAGGAGGTTAGGCCTAGAGGGCAACCAAATAAAAGTTTGGTTTCAAAAACAGGAGAACTCGGATGAAGGTAAGTGGATGATTTTATTTTGTTTTACTGTACAATATTGATGGTTGAATTGGTCTACACTTGTGTTTGAAATTCCAGATCCAATGGGAACGCCATGAAAAATGCAATTCTTAGGCAAGAAAACGATAAACTTCGTGCCGAGAATGACTTGTTGAAGCAGGCTATGCAACTCCTGTGTGCAACGGTTGTGGTGGTCCTGCAGTGCCCGATGAAATATCTTAAGAAGAACACCGGCTTAGGATCGAGTATGCTCGATTAAAAGACAAACTTAGTCGGACATGTGCTCTATCAAACAAGTTCTTAGGTAGCCTGAAAACATATGGAAACAGGGGAAGCGCTGGGTTAATGGCCAAAATAAAAGAGAAGAAAATAGTTGAGTGATAAATAGTGTAATTTACCCGACAGAAATTAACGGAACGTGGGTTAATGATGAAAAACTTTGATCAAAGAATTAAATTAATTTTTTTTTTGAGTTTAAGGGTCATATTAGTTTTTTAAAAAAAGTTTAGGAGCCTTTGATACATTCAAACCTATAAATTTAGGTTTAAAACTTGAGGATACTGTAATCAGGATGTCTCAAGTACGACAACTTTAATATACCGTTAAGGAAATGAGCTACCAGAAACATTATTAGACATTAAAAATAGATATTATTCTTAGAACACTTTGCTGCTCAACATACCAATGCTTCAACTAAACTGAATCATATTGGAAGAAAACAAAGTTTCAATTTTTTTCTTATTACTATATTATTTATTAATTATTTTATATCATAGTTATTGTTACTTTGCACATGTTAATTGGATTAAACGACGATTACAGCTCTGGTAAGAGAGGATAATAGAAGAAGAAAACCAAAGGAACTCCCATAAAACAGGGTTCATTCTAAAGCTCTTACTTATTTAGACAACTCCAATTTAACATTATTAAACTATTCTTCATTTGCCATGGCCACCTCGGCACCTGAAGATTCTTGAGCAGCCATGAGTCCAGGGATTAACAGGATCCTGGAGTACACGACTGGGGACTCCTCCTCCATCAAGAGACGCCGCAGCCGCAGCCGCATCCCCTTGGACCACCGCCTCCACCGCAACCAGGCTGATTATTGCCAAGAAAATT